CACAACCTGGGTTGGCATCATGTGTCACCACCACACCCTCTTGTGAGGGGCTGTACAGAGTCTGGTCCTGCTTCCCACATCTCCTCAGCTTGAAGACACTGACCACCAGGATAAATTGCCCTTTCTAGAAGAAATTTGGAGCTGGAAGGTCCTTTGCTGTTGTTACTGCTAAGCCACAGTCTCCTGCTTAGCTTCTGCTGTCACCCCCAGCATGTTTGATTGCCTTCTTCATGTACTTCTGTCTATGTTGCCTGCACACCTCTAATTTGGAGGGTTTGGAAGGGGTGGAGAGGAAAGAGTTGCTAAATGGAAGTATTTTGGTGTGGCCTTGGAAAAGAGAGATGACTGTGTGCTCAGCTTCTGTGCTTTTCAGATTCCTTTGGAAAAATGCTCCCAGAAAAATGGAGTAAATAAGGAAATAAGGTAGGGGATGGTGGCATGGATGCCAGAGGAGTCTGGTGCCCTCCTTTGTGGATTTCTTAGGTGTCTTCACAGCCTCAGGCCATCCCCAGAGTGGTGTCTATTCCAAAGGTGTCTGGCAAGTGCTTTTTCTCCTGCCCTGGCTGTACCTCAGATTGCATGACCTGCACGTAGGTGCCAACCTGTGGGGACATGTGGGCTGCTGGCTGCTCATCTGTGTGAGCATGGAGCTGGCTCTTTGCAGGTGCTCCTTGGAGAAGTTGTGGAAAGCATCTTGGAACATCTGGAAGCTTTGGTGGCTCAAAGCACTTTCCATGCTGTGTCCCTGAATCTCAGGACAGGCATTAGAGCCAAGGAGCTGGTTTTGGCTTTGTCTTCTCACCTGCTTCTCTGAGATCAGTCCTGCCACCCCTTCCTGAGTCCTGCACTGCAGCCACACCACGGAGCCAGCCCAGGCCTGGGCTGTGTCCATGTCCTCTGAACCCTGTGGCTGTGATCCCTTCCTCAAGAAGGGAGAAGGAGCAAATGTGGAAGCTGGGAACCATTTTCCAGCTGCTGGAATGGGTCTCTGTGACCCTGGGGTGACCATGCCTGGACCACAGGCTGGTGGCTCCATGGATGCTCCTGCTTCTGCCTTCAGGGATGGTGACCCTGTGACAGCCATGTTCCAGCTGGGCAGTGCAAGCAGGGACAGGGCACATGCCTTGGGTTTACTTTAAAAACACACCAGGATATCTATCTATATCTATATCTATATCTATATCTATATCTATATCTATATCTATATCTATATCTCTCTATGTCATCTATATCTAATCTATGTATCTATATCTATATATAAAAACACACGTCTATGTGTGTGTATATGTGTATGTGTATATATATACATTTTTTTAAAATTTTTTGTATATATTTACATCTAAAAACGCATTTTGATCATCAGGGGACCTGGGCAAGGGCTGAGCACCATCTAGTGGCAAGCACCACGGCTCCAGAGGCTGCCGAGCCAGCAGGAAATGAGCCAAGGACAGAAAATCTTGCAAGAATTCTCCTTTCCCCCACCCCCCCGCCCCTCCCCCAGCTGCCAATCGCTATCTTTCTTTTTTTTTTTTTCCTTTTTCCCCTTCTTTCTTTAATCCGGGGCAGCAAATGGGGGTCCTGAGGATGCCTGGTGCTTACATGCCTGTAGCCCCTTGGACCACTGAGGACCATTCTGCTTCATTTATTCTGTATTAATTTGGTGGGAGAGCAGGGTTCTTTTGCCACCAGCTGCCTGGGCACTACAGTCTGGGTGCTGCCAAACCCATCCCAAACTCCTCATGCCATCACAGGGAGCAGTTTGGAGGGTGGGAGCTGCCGAGGAGCCCAGCATCCCAGGCATCCTGGCAGGAGGTGTGTCAGAGCTGGGTCCAGCACAGGGAAGATAAAAAAGGAGCTTTTAAAGAATCATTTTGTCTTCTCCTCGGCTGAGCACAGCCTTTCAGGGATAAATAAGCAGCATCAGTCCTGCTTAGACACATTGGTCTTTGCATTTATTTACTCCCAGGCTTTATTTGGAGTGAGCAGCCAAGCCCAGGCTGGTTCAGGTCTCTGCTGTGGGGGACACAGCTCCTCCATCGGGTGCTGCTCTGTGCGTGTGGCACAGGAATCAGGCTCCCAGGAATACACAGCTCTTTCCATCAGGAAGCAGCTCTCTAAACATAAACTAATTAATCACTCGTGCCTACCTGTCAGGTCAATGATTCCTGAGATTTTTAATCTAAAAATATTTCCCTTTTGAAATCCAGATGCGCCTGTTTTGGCAACTCCGCTTTTGATTTGTTTATTTGAGGTGTTTTTGAATTATTTTTTTTTTAACCTGTGTTGCTTTCCTTTTGTATTTGGGCCTTTGATGTGCTTTAATTGACTGATTTTTATTTATTTTTTTGTCCTGGAAGAATAGGAATTTATTCTTTTTATTTGCATGGCAAGTCTCTCTCCCTGCTGCATCCTGCCAACTTTCCTCTTCTCTTTTTAAGGGATTTGGCTACTTTTGCCTCATATTTCAGTTTATGGACCATAGACCCCAAACCATTTTCTTGATGAAATCTGTCCTCTCCCCTTGGATCTATTTATCATGGCTGGGTGCCACGGGAAGCCTCTCGTGGTGGGGGGAGATGCTGGTCCTGTCTCCTGAGGGTTCAGCTTCAAATTTGGCTCTCTGCCCTCATTCCTCCATATAGAAATGATCCTCCCTAGCATGGAATTATTTATTTTTAGTTCCAGTTTTACTGTTCTTGGGCTTTTTTCTGCCCACCTTCCCACCTTTGTTGACAGTGCATATTTTAATAAGAAAAAATGCCAATAAATGCATGAATGAGTAACTGATCCACATGTATGAATAAAGTAAAATTAAATGAATGGGTGAAATGTCCTGAAAATAGTAATTTCAGTAGGCTTTGAGGCTTTTTAGAAAAGCTCTTTTTAGTCTTAACCAAACCTCTCAACAGGGTCTTTTACTTCAATTTTCTATTGATAATAGCTGTATCTTTAACTTATTGCAGAGTAGGGAAGACCATACCCGGTGGTTGCTGGGGTTTTTTAGCTGCTGTGATTTTATTTCTTGTTGCTAACAGATCTTCCCCTACTTTTTTATTTTAAATGACAGGAATAATCACTTGCTGTTGTTTGTGCCGTGGATTGGGAGGGGGTCAAATTCATCTCAGGTGTCAGCAGGCACGGCTTTATCAAAATCCACTCAACATTTCCCAGCTCTGGATGTGCAAAGAATGTGTGCCCATGGGGTGTGTGTGCTCAGAGTCCCTGTGCCAGATGAGATGGGGAAATACAGTTGTTCTCCCTTAGGAAATGCCTTTTTTTATTCGCTCAGCAAGGATTTATTTTATTTCTGTTGTTTATTATGCAGCTCTCTGTGTGTGCACGTGGAAATCTCATGGTAGCATTCCGTGTTTGAACACAGACCTTGGAGGGGGACACGGAGGGAGCACATAGGGCACCTCCATTTTTCAGACATGGGACATCCCAAGCTGTTGGGGTGCTCCCTTGTTGTTTTTCCAGGAAAGCCCTCACAGGAGAACTTTTACTTGGAGCAGTAATTTAGGCAGGGAGCAGAAAGATGGGAGGAAGATTCGCTTTTTGAAAAGTCACTTTGGGAGGATTAATTCGTCGTTGCTCCTTTTCTCAGCATGGTTTAGACATCAGTGGAACAACTGGATTCTTAAAGAAAAGGCATTTTTCCAAGAATAAAATTTATTTCATACCTGTTTTTTACATGTTCCCAGCACGTGGCTAAAAGCATGGACTTCAGGCCCCCTCCACAGTCCGTCTTTCAGGATGTGGAAACCAGGCACAGCTGCCCCGGGCTCTGTGTGTCTTTCTCTGCCATCCAGGGTTGATGTAAATGACATGTTGGGTGACATGAGAGGAGTGAGATGGCATCAGGGCTACAGACTTCCAGCTTCCCATCTCATGCTTGAGTCTGGATATGGTCCCTATCGCTTCTGGCAGCCAGCATGGGTACATTTATTGGCTTTTTTGGGTGCTGTTGCTAGGAGTTTTGCTGCTTGTTGGAGCAGAAAGTGTGGCTTTGTGGGTTAGCTCTGTGGTGAGCTCACTGCCAGTTCTGCCCTACTTCTGTCCTGTGAGAAGGAGGAGAAGGAGCAGGGAGAGGAGCAGGGAGCTGGAAGCCAAGTAGTGATGAGTGAAACCAAGCTTGGTCCTTGCAGTGTATTTGCAGCATCAGGATGCCTGTTGGGGAACCTGTTGGGAAACCTGTTGGGGAATCTGTTGGGAAGGGACAAAATCCCTGCTGTGTCGGAACCCTGGCTTGGTTCAGGGGTTCCATGTGGTGGTAGTCTCTCTTCTAACCTGTGCTTCCAAAGAAAGGCTCAGCAGCTTCTTGTTGTCCAGTCTCAGGGCAGTTTATTGGAAGTTATCTAAAAGATTTTCTTCTCTGGCTACTGTGGTTTGCTCAGCAGCTCAGGCAGAGGCACACACACACCCTGACACCTTCTCTGACTGCTTTCTTCTTCTTCGCTCCCTCCTCCTAGGGTTGTTGTTATTTTTTATATGATATATTATGTGATACATGTTTATAGTTTTGCTTTAATACTTACTACCTATATTAAATGGTGCTTTTCTACTCTAAACCAATCTATAAGTGCTAACATCATTAAGAACATGGAGGTAAGGAAGAAGAAAGAGGAAGAACAGGACTGCCCTACTTTCTTCCGTCTTAAAACTTCTGGCTACCATGTATAGAGTAAAAACCCCCCTGTATAGGTGTTAAAACCCCCTTGTACAATACTAAAAAATTCTTCCCTCTACTTTGTAACTACTTTTACTATAATATCTAAACTTTTGTAATTTCTTGTTCTTCCTGCAAGGTTGGTAACTCATTCCATGGCTCAAACTCAAAATCACAGCTGTTTCCATCTGCCTGCCAGGGTCTCAAATGCTTCTGACCAGGGCCTGGAACCTCCAAAAATGTCTGAGGGACATTTTGAGTTGCGACACTGCTGATGGGGTCAGTCCAGCTGTGACTCACGAGGGCTTTCCTCTTGCCATTGTGTCTCCTGCAGTGCTGAGCATCCGGGGGGCGCAGGAGGAGGAGCCCACGGACCCCCAGCTGATGAGGTTAGACAACATGCTCCTGGCCGAGGGGGTGGCGGGCCCCGAGAAGGGAGGGGGCTCGGCCGCCGCCGCCGCCGCCGCCGCCGCGTCCGGAGGAGCCGGCTCCGACAACTCGGTGGAGCACTCCGACTACAGAGCCAAACTCTCCCAGATCAGACAGATCTACCACACGGAGCTGGAGAAGTACGAGCAGGTAACAGGCTCCTTCGTGGTGCTGGTGCTGGTGGGAGCAGAGCGGGGAGCGTGGATCTGCACGGCCTGGGTCGTACCGACATCTCTTGTTAGGAGCCTACGGGCAAATGGCTCTGGGTGTTCTCACTCCAACACCAGCTTTTTTTGGAGTTGGCAGGCTTGGGGGTTGATGCTGGGGTGTGGCATGAGAATAGTCTTGGCAGGGTTGCCCCTTGGATTTTCACTTTTCACTCCTCCCCTGATATCTTACCCAGAATTGGCCCTCTGAAGGAAAAGGCCTCTCTGATGTGCTGGCATCAGTGATGACAGCTGTCCAAGTAAGACTTGCATCAGAGTCTTCCTTGAATATATTTTCTCCTTGAAAGGCTGCTTCCACGGGAAAAAAAAAAAAGGTCTTTTTTCTTGTAGTAAATTACTCAAAAGAAAATCTACTTGAGTCATGAACACAGCTATTGGTAACACTGACAATTTCATTAAGAGCTTTGCAGGTCAGTGCTCGAAAACAGTTCCTTTCAAGTGCTTCCTGATGTTTTGCAGACCTTTCTTGGCCACTGTGCACCTTGACCTTGTGGTCTCTACCCCAAGGATGTGAGCAAGAAAGTGGCACCTCCTTGGGTGCAGGACCAGTGCCAGGGGCCTGGTGGGCCTTCAGCACTCGGGTTTAGATCCAGTAAAAGCCTCCATTTTTCCTGGCTAACTGGATGTGTGGTAGGGCTGGGGGATGTCTCATCCCCGTGGCCACGTTGGCCAAGCTGAGGGAAGGGTGCTCCAGGGTTAGAGCTGGAGTCAGGGTGGCCAGGCAGGGCTCTGGTAACGGAGCAGCCAAGCACAGTGATGCCACGAGAGGCACTTTGGCAGGCAGGGAGCAGGCAGAGGGCTGGCTGGAAGGATGACCTTTGGTAGCTCTCCTCAGCCCTTGCTGTCACCCCTCAGCCATCCCACGTGGGTGGGAGTGGAGAGCACATCAGAGGTCATCTCTCAGGCTGAAAAGGGGTAGAGACACCTCATGTCCTCTGCTACCCAAAGCTAGGGAGAGGCCCTTGGCACAGGCTTCAGGGAAGGGCCTTCTGCTTCTCCCTCCCCTTGGGCAGGGGTTTTATTTGTTTGATGCTCTGATTCTGGTTTTGCTTCTCCTTGTCTCCTCAAAGAGACACCCAGGTGAGAGAAGCCTTTATCCAGGCCCAGAGGGTGAGATGGGCTGCATTCTTCCTTCTCACAACCCACTGACAGGGTTTGGTTTTGCCACTGAGTGGCTTTGCAAGTGGCTGTGCTGGTCCACATCTCTGGTACCATCTCTGAAAGCATCACCCAGATTCCTGCAACACCAGGGCTCAGGGTTTTTTCCACCTCCTTCCCACTCTCTCCAATCCAGCTGTTGGGAGCTCAGTCCCAACTGAGCCCATAGCTACTCAGTCTGGCTGCTGGGTCAGCACGGCAATCAGTGGTGATTTTGCCTTTAATGCTCTTTATTTCATGCCAAGAGAAGGTGATATAAAATTTCTGGGGTGTCTGAGAGCTCTGATAGCCAGCACTTATCCTGGGAGATGGGAGTCAGCAGCTGGAGCTGGCCTTGGGGATGTCTCCTTGTTGGGTCTGAGCCATGGTGGGAATTCAGCTTGGAAGGGTGGGGTAAGACACAGCAAGTCAAGCCCAGGTCACCAGTCCACAAATCCAGTGTTTCTTTCCTTTGCCAGCCCCTTTTTCCTCATCGTAGCATGGGAACTGCAGACACTGTCCCCAGAGCAGCCACCCACATCCCAGGAGCACCAAAGGCTTCTCCAGCCATCACTGCCCACTGGTTTTTGGGGCTTGGTTCTGGGATTCAGAGGACCCCATCAGTGAGGTGCTCATGGGGATGAGGGAGAGGGGACTGAAGTGGCCTTGATCTGCCCTCAAAATCACCCCCTTGTCCCCTGGCTCCTCTCGCTGCCCTGTCCTCGAGGCTCAGCATGGGGACAGCAGGAGCAGCCAGACAGTGCTGTGCAAGCAGCAAACTAATTTGGATTGTTACCTGCTTGCCCTTATTTGTCAGGGTTCCTGCCTCACTCAGGCTTTAATTATTATCCTTATTTACTGCTTACCTGATGTGCCAAGAGCACGGAGTAAGGCCGTGTCTCTCTGGGAGCTGCCCCTGTGATGCACAAGGGGCTCTGCAGAACACATGGTGGGGCTGTAGGAGATAGGGCAGTGGGTCCAGAGGTGCGTGGTCCTCCTCAGATAAATCTATAGCTCCTTCAGTCACAACCAGCAAAACAGTGGCTGGGACTTCTTCATGCTTTTTGTGAATCCTGGGGCTTCATCTGCCACAGCTCCATCCATGATCCCCCCCGAGAGCAGTGAAATAGGCTGCTGTCTTTCCCAGCATGTTTTTGGGAGTCTCTCACACCCTGTGCTTGGCAGACCAGGGAAATTTCTCTCTCCCTGATGCCTGTTTCTGGCTAGAAACAGAGGCCAGACAAAGTTTAAAGGATAAAAGTGGACATATTTAATGGTGGGCCTTCAGGTACATGAAGGGCAGATGAAGCCTCCCCAAGGGGCTACACCCAAAATAGACGATGTCATGACTTTTTCAGACATACACAAGTTTGGCCTATTTGCATATCAAGGATTAATTCTCCAATTACAGCTTCAGGTAATGAAGTCAGACACATGCAATTTTCTACCCCCCCAATTTCACTTTTGTTTATCCTTTTTGGGGCCTGAGGCAGAGGGTGTCCTTGGATCTCAGGCCTAGAAAGATTGTTTTGTCTGACCAAAACGTGAAGAGTTAACTAAACTTCTATATGAAGTTCAGAGTTATACACTAAAGCAGTACAGGATCTGAAAAATACAAAAGCTAAAATCTTAAGTCATCATCTCCTGAGCACAGAACGTTCTTGCTCTGAGCCTGCTCTGAGAATCCCCAGCCAGCGGGGCCTGCAGTCGTATCTCCTCCCATAGCCACGCTTCCTCTGCCCCGTCCTTGACACCACCGAATGACCTTCCCATCCTGGGGTTCCTTTTGCTTTTCCTGCCGTGCCAGGCGTGCAACGAGTTCACCACGCACGTGATGAACCTGCTGCGCGAGCAGAGCCGGACCCGGCCCATCTCGCCCAAGGAGATCGAGCGGATGGTGAGCATCATCCACCGCAAGTTCAGCTCCATCCAGATGCAGCTGAAGCAGAGCACGTGCGAAGCCGTCATGATCCTGCGCTCGCGGTTTCTGGATGCACGGTGAGTCCGCGCCCCACCCAGCCTTTTGGCTCCAGGAGGTTTGCTGGGCAGCTTGGTTGGCTCTGGAGTAAACTGAGGGCCCAGCTGAAGGGCCGTGACTTGAGGCAGAGAGGGTTTTTTGCCTTTTTTTTGCCACGGTTTAGTTGAGGTGTTAGAGCATGGGTTGGACTCAATGATCTTGAAGGTCTCTTCCAACCCGGTCATTCTGTGAATTCTGTGAATTCTTTATGCCTCGGTTGTCTGTGGCTCAGCAGGGGAGGGGACTGCAATTTAAACCATCCCTTGGTGAGGCTCCCAGCTGTACCTTGAGAATTGCACATCTTGGTTTTGCTGTGGCAGAAGGAAATCCTGTGGCATATTGCAGCAAGCCTCTGTGGTGAAAACGTGCGCTTCAGTTAGGGATGAAAGTTTTTCCTCCAGGCCATCCTGTCCCCCCTAGATTCCCATTCTTTTCCCACTGTTTTTATGTCCCAGATTTTCAAATTGCTGTAAAATTACTTCATTTCCCAAGCTGGTTAGGTGCAGACTGCAGCTTGGGCTGTAGCTTGCTATGGGGAGGAGAGGCAGCTACACCAGGGGTACAAGGAAAGAGATGGCAGACAGGTAATAATGCCTAGGTGTGAATGGAACAGACCTCCCCAAGGATATATCCAGCTGTGCTTCCTCAGCACAGAGCTTTGCAGAGTAGCACTGTCTTTGGTCATGACAGCCAGGTGTCAGGAGTCACCTTCCCAGGTGGAGGAGCTGGATGCCAGTTTTCAGACTCTGCTGTGAGCTGGAGGATACGGTGATAAATTTGAGATGGAGATTTGCTTGCTCTGAAAGGTGCTGAGAGAGCAGTCACCAGCAAGGGGTCAGACCAGAAGCTTTCTGGCTGTGAGTCTTGCTCTCCATGCAAGCAGAGCGGGGAGAGAGGAAATTGGGAAACTCAAGAGTATCTAAAATTGCATTCTATTTTTGGTTCCCTGGTGCTCATTCCCTTTCTTTTCCCTTCTGTTTCCCATTTTTTCTTCACATGAAGGCGGAAGAGACGAAACTTCAACAAGCAAGCCACGGAAATCCTGAATGAGTATTTCTATTCCCATCTCAGCAACCCTTATCCCAGTGAGGAAGCCAAAGAAGAGCTAGCCAAGAAATGTGGCATCACAGTCTCACAGGTGAGACAGCTCAAAGCCTGGACCAGTGGGAAACCTCAGCATGGGGAAGGGTATTCCAGACCTCAGACCAGCCAGCCATGTCCAGTGTTGAGCATTTAATTATTCAGTTAGTTTAGTGCAAGCTAGTGAGAGTGGGTGGGAGTGCAGATGGCCCTTGCAGATTGAAGCCATGGATGGAAAAGGAAAGTCTGAGAGTGGATTTAGGAGGTATGAAGGCTCCATGGAGCAATGGCTGTGTGTGCAGGCAAGGTGCTGACAACACAGAAATGATGTGGCAGCAGCATGCAGAGGGACAGAGTCTCCTCAAGGAATTAGTGCTGGTCTGGCCTGCTTGATCTGAAAGGGCTTGTTTGATCTGAAAGTCATTTCTTCAAGGGGATTAAAAGCAGTAGGAAGAGTTGTACAGGATTTGCTTGATAGGATTGAATGGACAAGTCCAGGTGGGAAGGATCTGGGTGCAACAGTTAGAGTTTGTGCTCAGTGAAGGTGAGATTTGTCAGGGTCAGTTCTCTCAGTCATGACCCTTGTGCTGCAGAACATGACATCTCCCTGACTTGCACATCTCTCAGAATATGGGGGTTAGTAATGACAAAATGAATTATTTCCATATGTTCAAGGAAGCCACATAGTTCCTGGAGTCTGTAGCTTTGACCTGGGAGCTGCTGTGATTTGTGAGGAGCGCAGTCAGCCCTTGAAATGTTCAGCCATACATTGCTCAGGCCTGCCCTTCTTTATTTCCTCTCTTTTTGGAGCAGGCTGTGTGATTGAGAGCCAATCTTTGTGGCCTGTGGTAGGCTTTGTCCTCATGTGAGCTTAGCAGCCTCTCTAGGCTCCCATGGCATTCCCTGTCTTGGGCTGCTCCCAGCCCCAGGCACGTGGCTGCTCGTCACTTGAGCGAACTGCAGACAGCAGTAGCATCTGGTGTCCTTGTGGGAGCGTGTCTGCCTTCAGCAGGAGCAGCAGCATCCAGGGGTAGGTGTCATCACCGTGCTGAGTGCCTGCTGAGTGACTCCAGTTGCCTCCCCTGGGCTGGAAGACCCAAACGTTGCTTCTTCCCAGAGTTACCTACAGGAGACAGCACATATTGGCTTAAGTAAAACTCCAGCTGTCCCAGTGCTTCCCCTCTCACTTCTAATTCATCTGTTCACACTTACAACTTCTCCTTTGCAAAGACAAAATGCCCAGGAGAAGTGCTGCGCTTAGGGAGGTGGTTTTGAGCGTGCTGAATCGAGGCTGCTTTGTGCCTGTCTCCAGGATCTGCTCCCTTCTTCATCCAAGTAAGGTAGAATCAAACACACATCCAGGTCTGCTTTTGCTGAGACTAAGTGGGAACACAGGTCCCATGAATGTGTGCAAGTCACGAGCAGAGTTGATGTGAACTCAGAGTCTGACCAGATTCTGCAGGTGTTTCACAGATTTTAAAATGCAGGTAGGTTGTGGTGGCTGTGTATTCCAGCCTCCTGCCCTGTGGTGCTCAGAGTTCACCCAGGATGTGAAGCCAGAAGAGCAGTCATGAGGAGATGTCCATGTGGAAAGATAATGAAGGAGCACATTGTCATTAGTGAGAAAGCTGGGCCATTCCAAGAGGTGGAATGGAGCTCCTTGCCAGCAGCACCAGCTCCTGGTGGTACCATCAGAATGTTTGCTCCCAGATCTGGGCTGGGTGCTGATCTGAGTCTCCACAGGTTATATTTTCTCTTTCCTGCTCTGCAGGGTTGGATACCTCTAGCTGAGTAGCCATTAAATTGGTGGATAAAGCCACTTCTGTATGGAAGCTGCTGGATGCTCTAATAAGCACTGCAGATAGAAAGCAGCACAGGAATAAAAGCTTATGGGTTTCAGTGAGCCACACCAAGCCCAAACTTTCCCTAAGTAAAGGAAAAAATCATGGGCTTCAAGGGATGAACATCCATTATTGTATTCTGTGTCTTTGGCTCTTGCTCAATTTATTTGGAAGAGGGAGCAGTGATGTACTTGCTCACCAGCAAGCAAAGGGAGAATGTCCTTGGAATCTCACTGAAGGGGTTGGTCTTGCTAACTCAAGATTGCAGCTCCAAGTAATTCTAGGAGTGTTGGAACTTTTTGGGAGAGCTGCAGCATCCTCCTTATTTGCCCATTCTCTTTATCCTGGTAAACTCTCTCAAAGTCAGTAGTGGCTGGAAGTTGTCTTCAGCTTAGAGAGCTGCACATAGGAGGACATTACCCTGATTCTCTGTGTTCAGTGCTGATGAAGAAGAGGCTGAGAGCTGCTTCTCGTGCTGTAGGGTTGAATCTTTCCCATGCCTTCTCTGAAATGGTTCAGTGTAAGACAGTGCCCACGAGTAAACAAGGAATATCATCAGCATGTCTCTGGGCAAACACACTGGAAACACCTTCCATCCCTTCCCAAGGCACACACTTCTTTCCTGGGACCAAAGTTAGGTTTTAGGAGAAATCCTGTGCTCCTTCTCCATCCTTCCCTTGAAGTTCCTGGTTCATGCAGTGGCTCGTGCTGAACCTTGCAAAGCCGAGCTCGGCTGGACAAAGAGCATCCACTTCTGGCTTTGTGCCCTGATTCCCCTCAGATGGATCAAAAGAGAGCTTTGCTGATACTGAGGCAATTTTGTGTGTCAGCCAGGCTCCAGTTGATTCTCTGAGTGTTCTCCCTCAAAGCCATGCTGGTAATCAGGGTAATCAGGGCATCAAAGAGATACTGAGGAGGAGCCAAATAAAAATGTCACCTACCTGTTCTCAAATTGTGCAACTGTGGGGTCATTTGACTTTGTCGTGGTTTTTTTTAATCCATTTTAAGATTTTTGTGAGGTGGGTCTAGTGATTCTTGTGGAGCATCCCATCTATAGCAGAACCAGCTACACCCACACAAACCCAGTGCTCCCAAGGGGTTCCCACCACCTTTCGTGGGGCACACACAAGTGGAAGGTGCTAGAAAAACCTGGGGAAAAAGAATCTGCACTGCTTAACCTGAACTAATCGACCTTCCTCACCCAGCTACACTTGGCAGAGCTGAAACCTTAACTTGTCCTTGTCTTCTCTTGAACTCGCTCTAGGTATCAAACTGGTTTGGAAATAAGAGAATCCGGTACAAGAAGAACATAGGTAAATTTCAAGAGGAAGCCAATATTTATGCTGCCAAAACGGCTGTCACGGCTACCAATGTGTCAGCCCATGGAAGCCAGGCTAACTCACCCTCAACTCCCAATTCAGCTGGTTAGTTTTTATTTTTCTTTTCTTTTGGGTTGTTAGTGTTCGGGTTTTTGTTTGTTCTCCCCTCTCCCTCTAGTCTCTCTCTTGTTTTCTCCTTTTGGTTATTTCAGCTTTTATTCTCTGGGTCTGGTTTGCTCACTTTCGTGGTCTTAAAAAAAACAAAACTTAAGAGGGAAACAGGTTTGATTTGATGGTTTTTTTGGGGAGGCGGGTTGCTTTATTTTCTTTGCTTTTTTTCTCCCTATTTTCTCCTTTTTTTCCCTCTTCCCCTTTCCTGTTCTGCTTTTTGTTGGAAAAAAAGATGTGATCAGACCATGTGACTGGTGGTGCTGTGGTGGGGGTTATATGCATGGATGGTAAACACAAAACCAGAAAAGTGGACCACGAAGCGTTGCTCAGATTGCTTGCACTTTGGGGGGGAGAAAAAAAAGTAATAGAAAAGTTATTGTGTCATGATTTTATTTCACTGGGGCTGAAAGCATGAGTGATCCTAATGGACAAACCCCAGCATTTCTGAGATGTCCTAGCTCATGCCATTTTGGGGGTTGTTTTGGGTGAATTTTTGTCCTTTGATTTTCCTGTGGTTATCTCTTTGATTGCTTACATGACAGTGTCTGGATCACCTGCAAGAATGCGCTCTGTGTGAATTTTATTTTCCCTTTGTGTCAGTGCAATCCAGAGAAATTCATGGGTCCTTCCCTTCCCTTCCCTTTCCCCTTTTCCTTCCCATTTGCTGTGGTTTCCATTTGTTTGTTTTGAGAGTCAAAGGCACAGAGCACTTTGCCCAGATTTCAACTCCTCTGCTAGAGAACGATGCTCAGTTCATGCCTGGTGCCTGCTGCAAGGTTGGCCAACCCAAAAATGACCAGGGGCTGCTGATCCAAGAGCAATGGAAAATTGGGATTTGTTTACAAGGAGAGAAAAAAAAATAACTTCATGGGTGCCATATACTTTGTAATCCATGCAAATATCTGTGTGCCTGTTTTCTTTTTAGGGGTGGGAGGGAAAGTGGGAATGTGCCACTCTTGAGCCTTTGAGCTGAGAGTCTGCTCATGGTGCCCTTCCCTGGGAATGTGATGCTTGATGGTATCAGAGGGGCAGGAAGGGAGCAAAGAGGATGGTGGGCAGCAGGATGTTACACAGGCCATGCAGATGCTGCCTGCCATCAGGACATACTTCTGTAGTGAGCACAACCCTGCTTCTGTAGGTACCAGAGGAATCACATGCCAGAAACACCCCTGGCTCTGGAGGATTTGAGTGGAAGGTGGAGAGCCAGGGGTCAAACAAAGGGAGGAAGCAGTGACATGGGTCTCTGGCCAGGACAATCTCTCCCACCTCTTCCTCACCTAGGGCTGTCTGCTCTGGCTCGGGTGCTCTGAGGGCTTAGGTGGGTGCAGCAGAGCTCTGCAGAGACAGTTTGCTGGAGTTTTGTTTAATTCTTTTTGATTTGGGGACTTTTGTTCCCTCTCGTTATCTCAGCTGATGAAGATTTAACTGCATTTTCAAAAATGTATTTCTGTCCAAAGAGCTCACACAAAATACCTGGTCAGGTGGGCTTTCCTGATGTTAACACCCCCCTATAGAAAAGGCTGGAGGGAATTCTGCTGGAAAGAGAAGAATTGTGTGTGTCAGGGGAGAGACCTGCTGCCTGTGATGCTGTCCTGCAGTCCACATCAGTCTGGACCAAAGAAATGCAGCTTTCCTTCTTTTCCTCTCTCTTCAGCTGGAGTCAGATCCAAAGGTCTGGAATAGCAAGGGAACAGCTTCAGAGTGCCTGAGTGGGTTTGGATCTGTGCTGCAAAGAGGAGAAAAAGCATTTCCTCAGTGCCTGACCTGTTAAATAGTGCTCCAGAGCAAGGCTGTTTCCTCGCCTTCCCCACAGGCACTAACACGGTTGTTTCAGAGATAAATTGGCTGGTGCCCTGCAGTAAGCAGCTGAGATAATCCCTGGATAACACTGCGCTTTCAGGAAAGGACAAACAGTCCTGTTATTAACAGGGAAAACTTGAGCTCCTGGGTCCTCTTTGTGGCTCACTTGCCTGCAGTCTGGAGTCATTGACCTCTTTTCACATGTCTGAAGTGTCAGCGGTGCTAAAGCAGTGCAAGGGGAGCTTGCAGGCCACAGAGATCCTTCTTCTGCTTAGAAATAAAGTGTTCCTAACCTGGCCCAGGTCCCACACCCTGCCTGGAATGCTGCAACAGTGGCAGAGCAGCAGGGAGGCCCCGGTTGCTCTGGGTCAGCTTGCAGAGGTGGTGGGTTTGGGTGTCCTTGTAGGTCCTCTCCTGAGAAGACAGCTGGAATTGCATGGGATTTTTATCTCCTGACAGTTGAGATCCTCCCAGCTGATCTATGCAGATGTAACAGCTCAGTCAAGCATCCCTGCATTGTCACATTTTGGGACAAAGACACTTCCTGAGGGCACCATGTGATCTCCCCTGCTTCAGGTTGTCCTGTAGGTCCCAGCAGCAAGAAGCACACCTGGACATGCTAGGTCTGAAATACCTGTCAGAAAGATTGGGACAATTGTGTCCAGGACCATGAGCCATCAGATGTGCTGAATTCTCCAGGGAGGATCATGGAAGCCAATGAAGAGGTGAAGAACTAAGATGGCCAATGCCTCTCCTTTTGCACTGTGGACTTCTTTCTGTTCCCAGATCATTGGCTGAGAGTTTGGTGAGGCAGGAGCCTGAACAAAGATAGGAGTTTCTATCCTAGGAATTTGTAGGACTTCCTGGTTTAAATACATTATAGGGCATGTGGAAAGAAAGTAAGCAGTGGCAGGTCATGAGAAAGAAATGACCAGCAGTGCAGTCCCTGGAGGGCTGTGATGTTGGAAGAGGAGGTGGAACTGGATGCAGTGGGACCTGGGACAGGAGCTAAATTCATTTCTGCTGTGGCTGCGCAGGCCCATCTGTTCTCTCATTGATGCCCATGGTACTGGAGATTGGTGAATGGCTACAGTCAGTCAAAGAGATTGGCCACACATTGACAAGGGCAAGGATTGCATCTGTCTGCCCATCTGGCACGTTCAGAGCAGGGTCCCCCATCCTCAGTCACCCAGGCCTGAATGTCAAACACCTTTTCATCCGGAGTACGCGCGGTTGGGCTTTATTGGCCAGATGTTCAAATAAGCTGAGAAGTCTGGCTCGTTTGGGCTAACAACTCCCCATCCTCACTTTGATTTCCTGGACAATCTCAGCACAGAAACCACATGGCAAATGAAAGCTGTTTTATGTGGGCAGACCTTTTTGCCAGCTAGAGTCCTCAAGGGCCGCACACAGGTGATAGCATCCAGTGAAATCTTGAATGCAGAGCAGCCAAAATTGTTCTGAGCTGTTGTTTTTTTTTACCTGCTCATCCTTTTGTTTTGTAAAAATCTTCTTGTGAAGCTGCTGCCTGGAAATGTACTTCATCGGGCGCAGGTGTCTTCTCTGCCTTCCTGCATTTGTGTCCAGAACATACCACTGGAGAGGACTCTGCTTCAGCAGAGACTGTTCTGGTCATGCCTTCACTGTCCTCAGTGTTTGGCAAGTGAAAAAGAACAAATGTCCTACTGGATCATCCCTGGCTTTTGGACCTGCTAAGGAGCTACATAGTTCATCACCACATTCTTCCCTCCTTTTTGGCCACAAAAAGTCACTGGAAGTATAAATCTTGTGCTCTCAATGCGTGTGTGTCATTGCTGCTGACTTCAACCAGGAATCTTGTAGACGTGGCCAAAGTCACTACAGAGGCTCAGTGTGCTGGATCTCTCTTGCTGGTGGTAGGTGGAATGAGGCAGCAGATAAGGATGGCTTGATTTCAGCTCCAGTGAACACCATTACCCTGTTTGTTTATTCGTGGTACCATTTGAATTGTCAGGTATTTAGAGAAAAGTACTTACTAGAGGTCCTGAAAAATTGGAGGTGGAAGTGGACACTGTCAGAACACAGAAGACATCTGAGAAGCTGGAGAAGAAGCTCTCTGAAGAGCTGGAAAAGTGGTGCAAGAAATACCAGCAGTCAAGTTTGTGAAGATTTTTGAAATGGAGGCAAATTTGAGGTGGGCTTTGCTCATCAGAGGTGTTAGGGATGGAAGAAATCTCTTAGAAGGCATTGTTTTGATGTAGGCTTTCACCCAGGGCAAGATTTGGCTGCCAGAGTTTGCGCAGACATTTCCAGCATTCTTCCTAAAGCAGGTGCTGCCCTGATAGAAACTCAAAACCAAGGAATACTGGGGATTGGTCTTGGTTTTAAAAAAGATTTCTGTATGCTGAAGATGAGACACTCTTCCACACTGCTGCAAGTTGTGGGTTTTCTGATAAGTTTTTTTATCTACCCACAATAATTCCAGAGACTTCCCGTGCCAAGATCAGAGTGCTTTCCTCCTGGGCTCACAGGCTCAAAGATGAGCTTCTCTCATTCACAACCTCAGTTCCTGAGGAGCCCCAGACCACCAAAAAAGCCTGTGGTGCATTCAGGAAAAGAACCTTTCAGAGGGGCAGGTTAGATTTACAATGGGACCTCCTTTAGTGGAAGGACTTGACTTGTATTCCTGGATCTCTGTGGAGTCTAAATTTTCAGGGCTCTTCACACCCTCTCCCAGCTGGGTGCATCAGCCCCTCTTAGCTGTGTGTCAGACTTGGGGCTGCTGTGATTTTGGGGCGTGGTGAGTGCGCAGCCAGCCGAGTGCTGAAGCAGCAGCGCAATTACAGCTCTGATCCAAATGCATCCATACATGCGGGGCCATTGGTATGCGCATATTTATCTCTGCATCCACATCAGCAGCAAGACATATTTACCGTTTAGATATGCACATATATTGTAAAAACACTCCTTGCCAATAGCAGTGTATATCTTGTAAGTGACATTTCCAGCGCTCCTCATGATTTCCGAGACACCGTCGCTCTTCAGAACTAGAGTTTGTGGCTGTTTGTTTGTTTTTATTTCCTCCCTCCCAGTCTCAATTTTATGGGCAGCTTTGTTAAGTTTCAATAAAATATCAGTTAAGTTTATGGCATTTTTATTTGTTACTGTTGTTGTAATTTTCTTTTGGTAGGGGAAGGTGGGATGAAATGTTGCTCAGCTGGGGGCAGAGAGATAGCAGTGCCATGCCAGGTGCTTAGGGATTCCAGAGTCCTCTCTCCAGCTCTGCCACTGATCATTTGTGTGATCTCAAAGATTTCTGCTCACCTCAAAAGAGGAGGGAAATATTCTCTGCTTCTTTTGAGGGGTAGCTGCAGAGTCCTTTGATTCTCAGCCACTGTGGGAGGACAAAGCTGTGTTACTGCCCTCTGTTTTTACGAGGCAATCACTTAGAAAACAGGGTCGGAAGCATCTTTGTGTGTGTGAAACGTGCCCATCTTCACACTTAAAGTTGAGCACTGTCAGAATGGGCTGGCCCCAGTCTGCCAGCTCATTTCTCTAGGTTTCTTGCCTTTAAAATGGCAAGTAACCTGGGAGGTTGGGAAGTGACAGGAGCCCTTTGCCAGCTGAGCAGAGGAGGTGATGGTTACAGCTGCCTCCTGACTAGTCCCAGTTATTTTACACAGCGCCGTGGGATTGCTCTCTGGAACAGGCTGGGCAGGTTGACAGTGAGCACAGACAATGAGCTATTCCTGGCTTCACAGAGCACCAGTGGGAGGGTCCTGATCCAAGACTCGCTGTGCTCAAGATGAGTCTTTCTCTTGACTGTCTTGGGTGCTGTATCTAGCAGTGATGTTTCTGTTTTCCTTGGATTCTGAGAACTGCCAGCACCTGACAAAAGAGCTGGTCACTAAGATAGCAGCAGAGAATGTAGTGAACATGAAGCCTCCAGCTTCCTCCCACCTGCTCCCTGACCTGTGTCAGATGTGACTTCTTCAAGGAGCCTTCCTGGTCCACCTCCAGGGCGCAACTGGGGTCTGTCCCTGTTTATTCCCTGTCTAGGGGAGGGGGATTGCCAGGCATTTCCCAGAGCATACGCATGAGCCATAGTTGGGCAATTCCACCAGGACTGTGGTTGCCAGTCTTCCAAGCTGGAAATGGCAGTGTAGATGATGAGAGTATATATTTGGGACTGGAGCTGAAAGCGTAGCTGACCTGGGCCCCTGAAGTCTCTCCTTTCCAAGGCTAACGTCATGTATAACTAAACCTTGCACGTTGAGCTGTCTCACACTTAACGCGCTGATCTGCACGATAAATTCTGAAATAATCCCATAAAACCTTTTTATTTATTTTTAACCCCCTTGCTGCCTTCCCTGCCTTACAGTTACATGATGGGTTTGTTTCTTCTGTTCAGTGGTTGAGGAAGTGCTCAGATATCTCAAAGCTGAAAGCATAAAACTTTCATTTCTGCAAAGGCAGGATTTATTTTTTTCTTTTCATTTGTGATTTTTTTTTTCTCTTGATCCCACCCAGTTGTCTTCACTGTTACAATTTTTTAGCATAACATTGACGGCTGGTGCATGCAGTGGGGAATTTGCTTACAAGAGCTTGTTCTTCTGGGGCAGCTGGCCCAGGAGGGCTGTGACACCCTTGTGTTCTCTCATGGGCCATCACAATGAAAGATTTGCCAGCGTGATGGGCACTGGGAGTCTAACCCAGGTGCCTTCACATTTTTGTGAGCCTTTGCTCCTGGTGCTCTGCAGTTCCCACCAGTGATGGGTTCCTGATGTCCTGAAGGCAAGCCCCATGCACTGCTCCCTCACAGAGCCCCACATGGCTCAGCCAAAGCTCCAGCCATGGGGCTGGATGGGCTCTGGATGTCTCACCCTGCAGGGAGCAGTATGGGCTAGAATTACCCACCCTGTCTGAGCTTCTCAGCATGGGCTTGGTTCACCTGCTGCAAAGGCTTCTGCTCTTGATAGCAGAGCTTGTCTGGGTAATCTGGGTAATTCTGGTCTCCAGTGCAGTCTGCTGGGTGGACACCTCCAACAACGAGATCCTTCAGAGCTGTCTGAAGGATTCTGATGCTGTCTGAGTCCTCCAGGCTGTGCTTTGTTTGTCTCAGTCAAAAGCATGAAGAATCCTTCCTCCAGCTGAGGAGCTGTTGAAGAATGTTCTTGGCATTGAGCTGTAACAACAGGTGGCTTTGAATAACCTCAAGAGTGCATCCTTTTTGTTTTTTTTTTGTTTTTTTTTTTGCTTGCTCTGTTCTTCATACTACTAACCTGACTGTGTGTTTTGTTTTTGTGGTTGCTTTGCATGTTGTTCCTTCCTCTTGGCTGAGAGTCATGGGGTGGATCTTTTTCCTTTCTGTGATTCAGGTGCCTCACTCTTTCCTTTCCAGGTTCTTCCAGTTCTTTTAACATGTCAAACTCTGGAGATTTGTTCATGAGCGTGCAGTCTCTCAATGGGGATTCTTACCAAGGGGCCCAGGTTGGAGCCAACGTGCAGTCACAGGTAGGGACCCATCCGATGTACTGCCAGTGAATGCATTAGTGTTGGAGGAGCCTTTGATTGTATTGGCACTTCTCCCTCCCGTCTGAAAAGAGCAAATCTCAACCAGCACAAATCAACCAACCAACACTTAAAAAAAAGGCAAACCAAAC